CGATGTCGCCTTGGAGCAACTGCAGTTCGGGGAAAAATCTACGTTTGTGGCGGGTTAGTGAATGAACATTTACTCAGTAGCAGAAGCAGAAATTGAATGGAGATTGGAGCGTTACCCCTACTGCCGCGTTTTGTTGGAAAAACAGGAATTTGTAAGTCCGGAAACATGGTTTTGCTTGGCCTGCTTGGTACAGAACCGTCAGCAGCGTTTGGTCCATATCTTTTTGTAAAGCTGTACTCTTAAAAAGATTCAGTTTCCGTTTCTGGTCACATCATCTAAAACGGCAGTCGTTGCGTTGCCTGGGCGATCGACAGAATTCTCCAGTGAAATACTGTTTCTTCACTTTTTGAGTTATCGTTTCATAAAGAACTAATGGCATTTTATGTAGATATGACGGATGCCAATTTCTGAAAAGTGTTGAGATGTATGATCCAGAGAAAGACGAGTGGAAACCGCTATCACCGATGCACTTGAAACGAAGTCGAGTGTCGCTTGTTTCCAATGCTGGATTCCTTTATGCTATTGCTGGGTTTGTCCTTAATAATTTATGTTATTTGAAAGAAGCATTCCTAGTGTTTGTAGTGTTCCCGGTGTTCTTTTCCTACTTTTTTTCGTCCGTGAGAACAGAATTGCTTTGGTAGCCATTCGGCCTTCCATATAATTCAAAACTCCTAGTAACTGATATTTTTTATCATTAGTCAAAGTATTATCATTATGCAAATTTTAATAATTTTGCTGTCGTAAAAATCTTTGCGATATGATTACAGTTCCAGTTTCTTCTTGTAATTCCTTGAAAGCAGCAGTAATTGTTTTCAGTTACGATGGTACATCTAATCTGAGTTCGATGGAGATATATAACATCGAAGAGGACAGTTGGATACTGGCAGCTAGCATGGTAGCGCACGAAGGCGGCGTCGGCATTGGCGTGGTACCCCTGCATCCAAGCAGATTGTCATAGCATGCGAATTGTAGCTTTTTTTAAAAATGTACGGGTTGTTACTGTTTGTTATGTATTCACTTAGCGTGGAAGAAAATCCATATAAAATCTCTCGGAGAAGGTGTGCTTCGAGTCTTTGGAATTCATTTTTAGGTTTATTTTAGATTTTAACTACAAAATGCGCCCGAAAAAATTCTGTTAGCGTTTTTACCGCTGTTTCTAGGGTTGTAAAATTTGAATTACAGTGATCAAAAGCAGGCGAATCAAAAAAGCAACTGAGCATGACGAAAGTTTTCTTGCCCTGAACGGAGAGATAAAATTCAAAGTTAATTGAGTATCCCACCTACTTTCGCAGTCGTCATAGTAAGGATATGTGTAGGCCTTGGAGTGAGGGAAGAGAAAAAGCGGGTAATTGTGTATTTAAACGAATCTATGACGTGATAATAATTAGTGCTGCTGGGATTCTTGTAGCTTTTTCT